GTACAGCATTTAATTCTTTTTTTTTTCATTCAACACTTCCCAAGGTTCTGAATGCTGTGAGATAGCATTGATATTGTAGCTGCAGTACTGAATTCATAGTTTCCCTTTTTCTTAGTATTATCACTATTAAATACATTTTTTTTTCTGACCGGTGCATCTGTAAGTGCCTCTTCTTAGAATATTATTATTTGTTGGCATTTGAATTTTTGGAATATTTTTGCCCATAAGATAACAAAAACGAAAGCTATTTTATTTTTCATAAATAAAAATATCTTAATTCAGTAGCAAAGCATATTTTTTCTTCTGTACATATAACTGCAAAGTACAAATAGTTATTTTTTAAGGATTCCCCCGTCTTTTTAAATGTTAAATAATGTACAATATTTAACAGTGTTAATGCAGTGCGTTTTCATGAAGCTAGTCCTCATAGTGATTTAAATTGTACCTGAATTCATGAAAAGCAAATCAAAAATGCCACTGAAAACATGCACCTACGTACTTTGATTTGACAAATGTGCTGTAGATTATGCATGCTTTAATCCATATAGAAAAAAAATCAATGCCAAATACAGTTATCTGTGTGTTGTGCATACAGTGGATTCTGCTTGCGTCTATAAGCTCGTTAAGATAAAAGGTTTATTTTTCAGCTATTATTTTTGTCTAAGCTTTTTGCCATTCATTTTTAAGCCTGAGCCAGTGGCTTATTCCAAGTAGGATGGGTCTACAGTTTATCCTTGTCCCATTGGGTGAGACTGAGCTTCAGCCAGGCCACAAACTTGGAGTGGATGCATGCTTTGATCTCTCGATTTGGAGAGCTTTGCAACACATATTGTACATTTACAGAACAGTGAAGGAGAGGAAAATTACAGCATGTTTCAGCGGGCTACTTTGACTTTTACACATTAGTTTAACAAACTGAAACCTTAACACCTTTTGTTCCTCTGTCCTAGCTAAGGAACCATAGTTTTAACTGCTGTATTCATTTTTATATCCGTAATTTACATGAAACATGTTTATTTTCCCCTTCACAGTATGACAATCTGAAATTAAAAGGTTTATTTAAAGACTGTTAAAGCATATTCATTTAATCTTTTTAATTTTTGGATGCTTCTCAGCCATAGTAATGCCCTTTATGGAATCAATTCAGCAGAGTTAAAAGTAGCTAAAAAATATATGACAGCTATGCCATGTTTTTTGGCAGATATTTCTGTTCACTTCAAGTAATAAAAATGAACAATAACAATAATAAAAACAAAGTATAAACTTCATTATGAAGTAAATTGCATTTCAATTTAAGCAACTTGCAACAAATGACAAACTAATTTTCTAGAACATTCTGTTACCCTGAATAGTATGGCCATGTTCCTTGTATTAGAAATCTTATGGTAGACTGAACTTGAGCCCTGGAATATTTTTGTGTTTTTCTTTTTACAAAAATGTATTTTATAAAACAAAAACATTTAGTAGCTTTTACTTGGGGTAGTTCATTGTGGATTTCTGGGTAAATTAATGCGTGTTTATTTCAAAGTGCTAGTAATGGCAGCAAAAATATCCTTTGATTATGCTACCACGGTTTTTGGCGTTTTTTCATTTTAGTGTATTTTAATCTCAAATAATATAATATGAACATGAAAAAAAAACATTCTTGTTCCTATTCAGAATCAGTGTGCTTTTTGATATCACCACTAACATTGTACATTAATGCTTCTGTAACAATATTCTGAATAAATTAAGACATGATTACGTATAATTTACAAGGAAAACATATGACAATCATTAAAAAGTATTAACTGTCTGTTTTTGCTGATTGTTAAAGGTACAGCACTGATATTTCAGCAGAGGTCAAATAGTGGTGTGAAACAACAGGTTGTGGTTTATCTTTTCCAGAAATAAAGAAAACAAACTCTTTCATGGGTTTTCTTTGCCTGTTCTTCTTCTTCTACTTCTGGTACCCTTTGCAGGATTTCAAAGCAAAATGTTAAACTTTGGACTGTCTTACATCCTTCCACTCCATTTTAGTGTTTTGCAGGGCCTGTGTCTTTTTCTCATCAACTTGAACATAGTCCACTCGGTGTTCATCAGCAAGCAAGGGTTTCTGCAAATAGAACAGAAGGACTATAAAAACAGAGAACCGTAGAGTAAAATAAGGTATTTATTAAGTAGCAAAATATACATTCATTTTTTTGGGATTATATATTCTTGAACCCATCCAATGTATCCATCTGCCTGAGTAGTGTCATTCCCGTTACCGTTATAGAAAAGTGAGAAATTGCTTTAACATTTGAGCTAAGGGGGGATGTGACTTACTATCCAGCATGAGCAGTCAGCCAAGTCAAAAAAATAGTATAGTGCCATAGTATCAGAAAAAGAAAGTACTTTTTTGAATTGCAGGTTTCAAAAGGGAAATCAAGCCAAAAAATGCATACAGAAAAACAGCAGAACAGCACAAAACTCAACCAACAATTACTACAACTCCTAGGCCAGGTTATATACTGTCCTTATAACACTCAGTCCTTATCCTCTTGATGGACAGGTGAACCTCTAACCTGACACTAGATGGTGGAACAGACATATACAAGACAACATTGTGGGTCCACAACGGGTAACACACAACAAAATACAACAACACATGTAATATAAAAATAACATAGCGATAGACACTACAAAAAGAACGATATACAAATGTCAAATGACAGGCCACAAGACAATGAAACAAGGGCCAAGTACAGCCCATCGTAACAGGTAGGAACTTTAGGCAGATTGTGCGAGCCGAGTCAATTGTTTTGCGATGCTGGAGTCAACACTCCTATTCTTATGAGCAGTGCTATGGGATTTTAATGACCAAGTAAACTGAGGACCTCAGTTTAACATTTCATGAAAGGGATGACACCTTCTACAGAACCTCCCCCTCCTTGGTCATCATACTTGGTCATTGGATTAGAAAATCTGGTCCAGAAGGAAACATGCCAAATAATAATCTACATTAAACTGTGCTTTCACTGGAGAGCCTGTCCCATGAGTGACCAAGCAATACTATGTGGACAGCTCAAAGGTAATCTTTACAAAATTGCCTATTTACTTCCTAGTTTAAAGCATACAATGCATATTAGATTCCTAATATTTTTCATATAATCATTTGTTGATGTTTATAATCCACACTGAAATTCTAGAGGTAAAATTTGCTTTTACCACTTTTCAGTTTTTATTTAGCCATTTATTTATTTTATTTATTATTATGTGTTTTTTGCTGTGAGTGTGTGAAGTAGGTTGTGTATGTAAAAAAATAGTAATTGCTACATTATAGTGGCATTGTGGCAGGACTGCAAACTTTAAAGCAAGAACATATTAAAACTGTGCAAGGGTTCAGCTACTATTGCAAGGCACTGTATAATAACTTCTGTGTACAGTTGATTGCGGAACTGCCACTAGAGGATAATGTCAGAAAGACAATCCTGCCTCTGCTTAAAGAGCAGTTGCCTGGATACAGCAGGAGTGTACATGGAAATTGGTTTCTTTCTTCTCAAATTTAAGTGAAAAGCATGAAACACCACAATGTGTACTACTGGGTGTAGAACATTGACTGCTGATGGTCGGATTTGGAAAACAGGAAAGTAAAATTGGGATTCTAGCAGCACTGTTTCACAATTATGAGAAAAGAAATAGGAACCCAGGAGACTTAATTAATTGTTAATTGTTAATTAATAACAAGAGTAGATGCTGCGATGCCTGTTTGAAGTCCAGCAAACACAAGGCTGATTCAATTTCTTCCTTCAAATAGAGCTTTTGCCTACTCCATAAAGGAATCTTTGACCATGTGAGAGTTAATTTCCTGACCTGAAGCTCATAGTTTCCGTGTGATTATTGTTGAAATTGATTGGACCAGTCTATCGGTTATCTAATAGACTATGATTTCAGTGATCACCTGCACCTGCCATTGGCGGTAGTCCAGGTGATAGCATTTCTTATAGAAGCTGCCATTTTCTATTAATAACTCAAGAAAGCATTTAACAGCTATGGTTTTCAGTACATCATGAGTCAATTCAGTTCTGGGTTTTAAAATTGTTTGTACCAGCATTCAGTGTATGTATAAGCATGTTTTAGTGACAACTTTGGGTTGTGTAGGGGAAAACAAATAATTATCTAAAACATACACAGAATTATGTTTTCAAATATGTTTGGCCCATTCTGTTATGAGGTGATATATGTAATGTGGGTAAAAAGAGCTTGATTTAAGAAATGTGTTGTGTAATTCTGCTTTTACAGAATTCTGCAGAACTAAAATATGATCATAAAGCAATGAGAATTATATAAGGAGTCAACATTCTTTTGAGAAACCTGAATGAAGTTTTTCAGAATTATAAAGCAAAAATTGTAGTTGTGTTTAAATTAAAAAAGACAGTTAAAGCAATTTTGGATAGTGCTTAAAAAAGCAACATTTCTAATAAACTAGTCCTTGTCTCTGAAGGTGGAACTAATTGATAGCTCTTTTCCCTTTTGTGTGGAACTGACAGTAGTTACAAAAGGATTCTGTCAGACTTTTTCTTTAAAAATAACCTTTGTACCAGACTGAAAATACCTTCCTTAACTAAATTCTCTAACATAGCAGAGCAAGTGAAGATTACAGTAATATACTGTTACAGGTTGAGGTAAGTGGTAATGGAGGTGTCTCAAAGAATCTACGCACAGTTGGTCTAACTAGTGTCAATATTTCCACTTCCTAGACGAGCTTCAATCCTAGGGATCTTTACTTAGTTGCAATTGGTGTGAGACACACTGATTAAAATAATCTTCTGGGTTATTTTAGTTAATTATATTCTGGGTAAATGATTTAGAGTATCAAAAGTGTAGAAGTGAAGAAGACAATCTGTATAGAAGACAGAGACAGAAGAGGGGAGACAGGAGAAGGACAGAACTTAAAGCATGTCCCACGCAAGAGGTCCTTGTTCAAAAACATTTAAAAAGTCCCAATTGGAGCTACTGTAAGTGTTTGAATCTTCTACAGAAGAGTGCTTGCTGTTCTATAGATTTTGGGGAACTGGATTTCATGAGTCAAGAATCCCTCGGTTAAAACGGCCTCTCCTGCTTAGTGGTTGCATATTTGAATATGGAGATTGGTTCCCATTTATTCTGTGGCTGTATTCTATTTAGTTTAGAAGGCATCTTATCTCTTATTCTGGCCTTCATAGGCATTAGAAGTTAGGTTAGGACATTAGACCTCTGGGACACCTTGTCAGTAAACTTGGAAATAGAATAAGATGTGTGCTGTATGTTTATGTTGTAGTAGTGTTTGTATTGTCACTGTTAATAAATATTTGTCTAACCAAATGTGCCTGAATTATTGCTTTTTTCCAAAAAGAATTAATGTGCCTCAAAAACAGTATGTTCTTGGCAGAAATCTTTACAAGCTTGGGGTTATTATTGTTTTTTTTACTTATTGATTTATCTGCTTGGTCAGTTCCAGATATTCCTCATTTGTGACAATGCATTCTGTATTGATCATATTAACAATGACTGCAAACCTTCAAAACAAAAGACCTTTTTAAAAAATCTTATTCCTAAATAAATAGATCTACCAGAAATATATAATAAAATACATTTGTGATGTACATTATATGAAATACAAGTATGCATTCCCTTACAAGATGTAATCTTTCTTCCTGTCCCACCCTGTATTAGAGCAGTTTCATATTCCCCCAAAACAGCAGAAGAAAACTTTCTGAGTACAATAACGTTAAACCTATTTGCAAGGTGGGTGTTTTATACACAACAGATTCCATTTCAAAGATATTTTGCTTTTTTATGTAATATACCTTTTGTACAGGAGAAGGAGATGCTGAATTGAAGTCCAACGAAAGATAGTCAAGGTTCGATTTTCTTGGCAAGGGAAAAATTGCATTCTCATTGGTAGGAAAGACCAGCTGTCTGGAATCCTGTAATTACAACAAAATTTTAATATTTACATTTTTCTGTACTGTTAAAGTATTACTTCAAACATGGCTCTGGTTTTTTCAGGCTTTACTCACTTGGACTTTGCTCAATAGAAGAACATTTCCTAAGGTAGGATTTTATTTCCTCTAAGGAAAGTTTCCTAAAAAAACTTGCTGAGACATTACACCTACTATAACTGACAGGCACATCCTGTTCTTATTTCTAGTGAAGGTAACTGAAAGTATATTTAATCATTAATAATGGCTGGAGGAAATTATTTTTACCTGGCTACATTTCTGACATTAATGAATGTTGCACTTGTGTATAATTCTACTTAATGAGGAGGTTTTCAACAAAAAAGGCATGTCACAGAAATCTTTGGCATGTGAGGACACAACATAACACTTACTGTATGTACAGTATAACACCTTTAGCAGCAAAAACAGCACATGTATAAGACTGACAAAGTAACATAATGTACAAGTCATTTATCTGGATTAATACCCAGACTGTAAATCAGTAGTCTAATAGAAATGTTTGTCAAGACCCCTTAATCTTCTGATTGAGGTTTCTTAAAAATGTGAATCCCCATAGGTGAAAAAGAATAAGATTGAAAACAGGTAACACTTTAATATACAGTAATGGCCAAAAATGCCTAATGAAATTGAACTGAATAGCACAGGGATAAAACCTGAATGTCTTATGCAAATCCTCTCTTCTGTAGATTTTTAGATTTTTCGTCTATTTGTATCAATATAATATCAATACTATAAAGCTTTTGATTAATTATTATTATTATTATTATTATAATACATTTCAGATAATCTATTTGATTAGACTCAAAGCAGATAAATGAGCGACAGCAGAAAAATGGAACAGATTAACAGTTTATGATACAATTCCAGTCTCTCAGCTTAGTCAATTTAACAATGTGTGACCTTCCTCTTATCAAGATACCTTGGGATTGGTCCTGTTTCATGTTAACACCAACTAGGACTTACAGTATGCCAGTTTGTCTGAATCAGATTACTGTTTTAGGTGAATGCCTATAAGTAAAATATTCTTTAGTCAATACAGAAATTTGTATTGCCAAATGACCCAAAATAAGCACCTTTGCGTGTTTTCCACCTGTTATTGTAGAGATGTTACTGCATATTATTAAGTGGCAAATTAGAGCTGCACCTCAATAAGGTAATAACCTGGGATCCAAAAAGAGATGCATGATATCTCCCGTAAAATTTTTTTCTTTAGAAGCCTGTGTTTTCCTCTTTATTATGATGACACTATTTCCCATATCATAAATATGATAAGATATCATAGCCTAGTTTGTAATATTATAATACATAATCATTCCCAGTATTTGTGCATTTCATCCCAATGGATCCCAAAACACTTAACATACAGTATAGGAGTGGACCAAGTGCAGTTCCCACTTTTTTGTGCCAGTAGTACCACCCACAGCAGATTAGGTGGAAAAGTGATAAAATTACTTTAACAAATGAACAAGACAAAGTGGAATGTTGCTAGGACATGAGGTTGAACGTTCCTACTCTTAGGATCAGTGCCATATGGGATATTTACTATAGTGGCCATGTATTCAGAATCTTGGTCTAATTGACAAGATCTGACAAGATCTGTCATCCAAAGGACAGATCTTTCGAGTCTGGAAATTCTGGTCCAGGGGAAAGATTGCCACCTACTGGTCTCTCACTTGTAACAGCAATGAAATTATCCTTAGAGGTCCTCCACAGCAGAGCGGTTTTTGTTTTTGTGTTCGAAGGTGGTAACAAATATGGATAAAACTTAAATTGCTCCTTTAAGCAATCAAGAGTTTAGTTTTGTTCTGGATTTCGTTCTGAAGTTTTCTATCATAGAATGTTAGCTGAAAAGAACGTGTACTAATTAGTTCAGGTGGGTAGCTGCGTCAGCATGCATAGGCTTCAAAGGAACAAGTAATAGGTTTATTCCGTGCTGAAAAAAAGAAGAAAGAAAACAACGTTTCGGCCGTGGAGCCTTCTTCAGGTGTGAAGAAGAAGGCTCCACGGCCGAAACGTTGTGTTTTCTTTCTTCTTTTTTTCAGCACGGAATAAACCTATTACTTGTTCATGTGTACTAATTTCTGTTTTTTTCTTCTGTATCTTTTCCATGACCGTGTATTCAAATCACAGTTTTTGTGAATCAAAATATTTAACAATAAAAACAGCTTTAAAAAATGTGTAAAATGCAGGGTCTTGTAAAAAAAAATAAAGAAATTGTAATTGTTATAAAGTTTTTTTGAGATATTAGATTTATTTAAGAGGAAATTCAGCTACAGATACAAATATCTCTCTATATTTTTCCTCACAAGATTTTGGCAGAAACATAAAAGCATAACTATTAATGATTTGTTTTCTGGAGTCCTAAAGTTAAATTTAGACATGCCATCTAGTCTCTTTACCGTTGAAATGCAGTTCTCTTCCTCTTCTCCTAGATTGCCACCAGCTCCAAGCCTTCCTTCCAGTAGAACACAGTGTGTTGGATTGCTGGGAGGGAAAAAAGGACAGTTTCAGGGTTACTGTATATTCCAGAGAACAAGAGAGGATGGTGACACAAGGCTGAAATTACTCAAAACCAAACAAAAAAGCAAGAATAAGATAATGACTGTTTTTTTTTTCTTTTTTAAAGCCAGGATCAGAAATAATACATATTTAAAAACATGACTAAAAAGAGGTCAGTTGAAACTTACTGATATAAAACACACAGTAGAGTGTGATAGTTGAAAGCACAAAATCATAATTTATTAAACACGTTTTCTGAATTAAATTTTTCATTTCATGCAGCTTGGGCCAAAGAGTACATTTTGGCTGGAAGATCCTATTAAAATAAACTTTGATGTTTTGAATTTGGCCTTCACAGAGAGATAAGCATTCTATTCAGTATATTTGATGTGCAAAATACATTTATTTCTAGTATGAATTAACCTGTTGCTGACCACACAGCGACTTTTGTTTTGTTACATGACTTTCTTACTGTTGATTGAAAAGCAGAAATTAAAAGTGACTGTATTCTCAAATATTTATTTGCAGCTGAAATTAAACTTTTGTATCTTACTCACAAGTATTCAACAGATCTATACTGAAGGAAATCATAATCTGGATTTTTAAAAATGTATTCATTTACCTTTTGTAAGTTAACAGACATTTTAAATTCAGAAAATACAAATCATCTTTAATTACTGATACTGTATATGTAGAATGTTAGAATTTAACATCTCTGTTTTTTTGGGGAATTTGGTGTTTTGTTTCACAGATTAATATTATTTCCATGAAATTTTAGCCACACTTCTATTTCTTCGGGTATAAAATTGAGACTATTTGTTCTCACTTGGTAACGTTTTGTGCTCCGTATTCCATGTAATTTTAACCACAAGTTTTATTTTTCTTTTCTCTCTTGATACATCAGTGCACTAATAATCCAGACAGTTTAGAGTACAAGTAAACATATTCAGCGGTGAGGTCAAAAGGCATCAGGTGACTTCCTTTGTGGTAAATGAGAAAAACAAGAGTTGGAGAACCGCTGTTTGATTGTCACTGTTCAACACAAAATTACCTCAGTTAATAGCTACTGTACTGTATATACCAATTGTAACATTGTTAATTCGTGGCTAAAAAGTGCAGTATTTACTTCGTACACTTACCATGGCTCTGTCATAGTCCTTGTAAGGGGTAAATGGGTTGGGTATTCTCTGATTGTGGAAAGGCCTCTGAGATCAAGAGGGGGTGGTCTTGCTGTAACAGAAATAATCACATTGACAAGCACTGAGTACAATTCCCCAAAATTATATAATTATTGTCAATATTTGTGACATAAAAGTCATCATATGTGAGCTTTCCTGTCCTCACTTTTTAAATGACAATTTTGACAATGAAATCTTAAATCACACTTATAAAAATCTTTTGTTTTTAATCTCGGCCTTTGTAGTGTGCAAGATTGCTGTAATTACAGAAATGTTTGATACCCTGAGGAGGCATATTTGTCCTTGGTGAATTTCAGAAGTTTGAACTAAGCCCATATTGAGGAGTTTAGTGTGTATTTCGAAAAACAGATTTGGCTTTCTTTCCCCTTGACTTAGGGGAAAATCCTAGAGGGCTATTTAACCCCCCTTACTGCCCCCAGATAGGTGAAATGAGTCAAGAAGCTTCTGTTGATGCAATGATGGGGAGGATGGAAGAGTGCAAAATGGTTTTGGAGTGTTTGTTACCTGTATACAGGATATACTGTAATTAGCTGGAGATGGTGGAGGGTTATTCCCTTTCATTAGAACTTTACAATTAACTGAAAATGTATTGTATATTTCTCAAGAAAATGTACTACTGTATATATTTTCAGCTGGATGCAATGTACCTATCTATAAATACATTGAATTCTGCTAGTCTTAGATTACTTAGACATATTGTTTACAGCATTTACTCGACTGTGGATTTTTACTACATTTACTCTACACATACTATTATATTTTACAGAGTAACTAAACTGTTTTTGGAGGACGCCTATGAAAATACCTTACCTTCACTAAATTCTCATGCAATATGTAGATGCATGTAACTGAAACAATATACCAGATCTGTGACAAAAACTGCAATAAGTGAGATTCAGAAATTAGTAAGTGCAGCATGTTTGTTTTCACTCTGTCACATTGGCAAGAAGATAGAAACTGTTCAATTTTTTGTCTTTGAGGTTAGTAGGTGATTGACTGATGAAAATTTCATGTCTCCCTGGTACAACTGGAATCAAATTGTACGGTAATGGAATTCAGACTAAATTTATGCTTAAGCTCCAGTGATCTGAACATCTTTCTTTACGTAAGACGTTTTGTTTCCCCTGTGAGTACAGCATCCCCTGAGACATTCTGTAACTTACTAAGCACAAAATGAATGTGCTTTTGTTCTCCATTCAAATATGTAAATGGAACATTTACATTTATTTCACTGTTTAGCTATGCTGATCATTACCAGATGAGAAGGACTAAAAGGCATGTTATTGTTCTATATCTCAATCAAAACTACTGTTCAAAGGAAGGGAGGGAACAAATTTCAAAGAGGGGTAATACTGATAATTAAAAAAAGAATAAAACAAAACCCTAAAAGACCCTAAAAGTCTCTGTGTATTTTAATCTTCAGATCCTTTTGAAATGCATTAAATACATTTATATTATGAATATTATAATATTTAATAAAGAACATAACCATAAAAATAATACTTTACTACACTAGTCTCTACTGCATATACAACCATGTGCAAATACACTGATATGCAATAGAAATATATTTTTAAGGATGACTAATACTTTTAAAAAGCCTACAAGGCTGACGTGAATAAATAGCCTCCCACACTCATATTCAGCTTCTCAAAGCATGATTTAAAAATCTGTGGATTTTTCTGGCAGCTTGTGTATATGTGGTTCCTGAGTGAATTCGTAGCATGATGTAAATATGAGGAAGAGGAGAACAGACACATCTTGGGTGGCTGACAGTTTAAAAACTTTGTATTTTACAGCAAATCATTGTGCTTTGGTAATAGAAAACGCAGAAGAAATATATAACCAAGAATAAATCATTTTTAAAAGCCTTTTTTCTTTTTGCGTCTGGTTGTTTCTTCACACTGAGTAAGGACAAGCATCTCAAAGTAAAAATTTAGAGAAGAGTTCCGTTCCCCACCCTGGCCCTGGAGGGTCAGATCAAACCTAATTGTTATTGTGGGGTGTTTGACATAATTTGTTTTGTTCTAATGAAGCTAAAAGGCTAATTTTGTAGCACAAAAATCAGATCATATTATGTTATCTTAAAAACGAAATGGCTAAAGATCAATACAGTATTGTGTTAATGAACAAAGAAGAAAGAGCAATGAGAAAAAAATGCAAGAACAATGCTTTTCATTTCAAAGACTTTTCCACTGCTGTGTACATTATGTGCCTCAGAAAATGCTGAAATTATATGTTACTAACATATACAGTAAACCAACAGGAAATGTTTCTGTTTTCAAAAGGAAAATATTCTCACTGAATCAAAAACATGCATCCTTATAAAACAGTTCAGTACACAAGGGCACTGAAAATGTTTTTTTTTTCTAATAAAAATAAGTTTACCTTAATAAGAATATATTGTTCTTTCGCGCAGAATTCTGTTTATGAACAGAATGTATGGTCTAATTTTGAAAACAAACCTATTCATAAACTAAAAATAAACATGTTTGTCACAAAACAGTGTCTCACAGAACATGATCAAGATCTGGCTGACAGTCACATAAGACTAACAACAGACAAAGTTACATGATTTGACTGGACATAAATTTTTCTAGGAACTGTATTTGAGAAAGGAGCTGGCATTCTGAATGCTTATGTTTTCATTATATACAGTATGGTAAAAAAAACATCTGGTATTAGGCTACTGGTATTAGATAATGAGATAAAAATACAAAAACAGACTTTTTAGATTTCGTCACTCACAAATTGTAAAAATATATGAAAAATATAGTGGTATTGCAATATAACTGAACTTTAGCTTCATAATTTTTGGTAATGCCACGATTTGTGACTCCTTTCTCTTGACTGAAAGCTCCATATACTCACTTCTTCGTCGTGGTTTGAGGTCACGGTTAACAGGGGGGGGTTCAAGGTCATCAGGCAATTCTGGCAGAGGAACGGCAGTTGGGATTGGATCTGTTTTATTGCCAGACAGGAGGAATTTCATTGAGGTGGGACTCATGGGAATATAGCCATCAGGGGAGCAGTCCAAACTCGACACAGGAGGAGAAGCGCCAGGATTCATTGGGACATAGGAGTCTTCATAGGTGTCCACAGAACTTGAGCTATTTGCTGCAGCCGGAAGAGGCTGAAACAAAGAATGTATGTGATGCAGACCACACAAAGAGCAAATATAAAAAAAAAACAACATCAGTTATTTCTTGAGGCCACGATGAAAATGCCTAGACTAAAGAATCAATGGGCCTTGACTACATCTGGATTTTGATCTCCATAGGCAAAATAGTTTGCATTGAGACTACAGTATGTGTAAAACTGTCAGTAATAAATACAGTTAATTAATTTAAATTTTTATTAATTAATTTGATTATTTTAAAGCATAAAATAATTTCAAAACCTTCTTACCAAATTAAGGCTGAGCCTTTTGCTCCAGTTTCGCGCTGAGTTGCCTTCAAACTCACCTGTGAGTAAATACAATACCACATTGAAATACCGCATTGGTATTTTTTCTTTTGAGACACTATGCTGGTATTTAAATCATTCCTAACACTTTCTGACAACAAAAGTTTCAATGAGATCTACTGTAAGTTCATGAAATCTACAATATAGTCCGAAAGTATAAGAGAAAATCACAAAAGAAAAAATATTTTTTTTAAATTGTTATTTAAATGTTAAGGCAAAAAATATATAGCTTTTTTTTCATTTTGACAGAATTCTTGAAAAAAAAACAGAGCTGATCCCATAACAAATGGTCAAATTTACTGTAAATTCTGTATTTTCTCATTAGCTACTCCTTGTTATGCACAGTGACACCTTGTACTTCGATAGCTTGACTGCATTGCTGTGTGAACAAAAAAAGTTATTTTATCCATATCTGGAAACATGCTCAAATAAGAACTGTTACATGTTAAAATCTGTTTCAAAGTAACATTTCATCTGACATTTTACACAGTTAATTAAGAAATACCATTCCTACAACAATGGAAGCCAATAAACAACATATCAGTATGTTTAAAGAAACACTGAAAATAGCTAAAAGCTATTCTGTGATAAGTCGCTAAGTAGAACTAGAATTAATAATCAGTTTAATGCTAAAGTTCCAGAAATTTGTATTAGGATTTAGTGATGATTAAGATAAATCACCCACTTTACCTTCCAAGATTTCTGTGTAATCCACTCTGTATTTACTTGTTTTTAATTTTATACACCATTTTCTTTTTGCATATCTGTTGAATCGGTATAAACATGAAACACTTTTGAATATCCTGTATATAATTAATCGTTCTACATTTGTCAAATATACATAATTTATAGTAGAGGTAAAGAGTTTAAGATGTTTCAGCTGATAATTTCCATACCTGGTAGAATGTTTATCTCTAGATTACTGTACATTTTTCTCACTGATTTGAAGGGAATAATGTTTGACTTTTGTGGTCAGTTATTTTGGTCAATAAACTGATTTTAGGAACACAGGCTCGAGAGAGAAGACAACCCCCAAATAATATCACTGACATAACTTTACTGTCCAGCTATAAACACAGATGTTAAATCCTGTTGCTTCTTGCCATTGATCTTGCAGTTGCCATTGATCTTAACAGTTAGTGACCTCAAAACCACTTTTGTGCAGTTTTTGTCTTGAAAATACCTGCAGTGTCTCTCCCTATATCTCAAATAACAACTAAATTGTGGTTTTGTCTGAATGTCACAAACTGGGTAAGTCGAATTAGACAATTCAGCTGAATAGCGGAAATGGCATTGCACTACAGATGGATTAACTTTTTAATGCCTTCTGGATATTACCTCTCCTCACATGATCCAGACCTGCCAGAGAGATTCTTCTTGGGATGATTCCAGGCTGCAAGGCATATGCACCATCCCCGTTCTTCAGCATTATGTGAGGTGATGGCTCATCGGGGCGCCGTTCAGAGAAGCGACTGGGTTTGGGGGGCCGAGGAGGTGGTGTGTTGCATTCCACACCAGCTTCCAAGGACAGCGCCGAGGGGGGTTTGTCAAACTGGAAAATATTTGGAACGTGCTGAACTGTATGAGGGGATTTCTCTAGTGGGGTGGAGGAGGAGGGGACGCTAGGAGGAGAATCTGAGGGTCCCGTGGAACTCAGGGGGGAGAACAGCTGATTGGGGCACAATGGAGAGAGGAACACTTCCTCAAATGCATTGTCAGATGAGTTCTGCTCCAGAGATCTTTCAGAGTTTGACCAGCTATTACATCTGGAAAAAGATCAACATGCGCAGTCAAAAAAACATTCCAAACAAAATGGAAGCTTTAGATATTTCCTAAGTGGGAAATAGTAAAGCCTTGTGCTGACTGTTTTACAAAATAAGAGTTTATTACCAGACTACAAAAAAACAGAGAACACCAAAGTCATGGTGCTGCTGTGATTTAGTTTGACAATGTAGGTTTTATATAGGTACCATATTTGAAATTGCCTGATTGATGGAGAACATTCCAGCATGAAAATATACTGTGGTAAACTTGAAAATAAATAAGATAAGCAGACACAACAGCTGGAGCAAAGAGTTGTGGAAAGAGGGAGGGAGACTATTTCTGTTGCGCAAGAGCTTGATTGCTTGATAGTCATCAATGAATTCTGTTTCCCAACAACCCCTGCTAAACTGTGATATGGCATTCCTATCACTATACTGAAGAGCTCACAGCACAACAGATAAACGTAGTTAATGAAGTTTTACAAAAAGGGCAGAACTTACCTGGTGATGCTGAATCTTCCTGTCTCACACTGTGACAGGAAGAGGTAGTCAAGGGGCAGGCTGGAATCAGACTCGCTGCGGCTTTCCTTAGTGGTGTTGGTGTCAGCAGTGAGGTCATGAGTGGAGAACAGACCATCATCAGCGTTCCTGGATGTGTGTGTTGAGACAGCAGGGGAGGGCTGCTGGGAGGACGGGGTCTGTGACAAGCTATCCACTGAATCTGAAATAAATTAAATGAAAATTAAGTTGGGTTGCTTTCAGACCAAAGTCAGATATTGCCAAACAGATGCACTGATCACAATTTTTATGATTTCAGGCTATAAAGAAGAAGTATACCTTAATCAGCTCAAGCATGTTTCAGGTGCCTGAAGGTTTTAGGAAACTGAATGTTAACTGTTACTTGGATACAACTCTCAGTTCCCTGAAAGATGATTTTCTCAAGACTAGCATGAACTCAATGTGGCTGCAACAAAACATCTGAAATTGTTACACAGTTTGGTGAGCATACTAGGCTGAAGACTTAATGCAATGAAGTGTGTCAGTACTTAATGGCGACTTAATATCAATGGATTGAACACAAAATATTGTATTATGCTAATTTGATTAAATGTAACTAAAATATATGATGTACTTATTGTTCATATAAATCTCATGATCACAATTCCAAATTACTAAGTAAGTAATGAAATACGTTTTGGCTGTTCCAATACTCTAGGAAAAGACTGTATTCGGCACAACAAACAACAATAATATGTGAATATTAGAATGATTATTCATGTTGTTCCAACAGAGTAACATTCAATTAGGATTTGCTTAACTGAAAGTACTGTACTACTAATAAAAGTGTTCTCTGGAAACACTTTTCTTTTTCTCAAAGGAATGTCCTATTATCGTTTTCTTCTCCAAAGGCAATGGCAAAGTAGACCCCCGTGAACTCTCAATAATGAAGCATGAACCAAGAGGACACAAGCACATAAGGAACTGCATTTGAAACTAAAAACAGGAGGCAGTTTTACCAAAAAAACGTGGGAGTCTGTAACAAGCTGCCTAGCCATGTTAGCGCAGCCTGACTTCTTTCAAGAAAGATTGTGAGGTTTTCAGATCAATTACTAGCAACCAAATGAAGAAGAGGAGAGGCTATCTGGCTGTCATTTGTAAACATTTATGTTTTAAATAGTTTTTATTAGTTTAATTTAATTTCTTACATAAAAAATACAATTAGTCCACTCCAGAAGGTTAAATCCGATTTGTTTTAGATAGTCCCACTCCTTCTGACACACAATTTACTAGATGCAAAAACAGGCCATTATGTCTCCTGAGATACAGTATACACCCTTTAGGGGCTGCTTCCTGAGATGTGCACTACAAAGTGAAATTTCTAAGACTTGCCACCAGAGGGAACAGTACTGACAGCTGTTTTCTCGCATGTTTCTAGTATCTCTGGTACACTTGACAGCTTTCTCTGAAGTTGTTCTTAGGCGAGGGGAACTTCAATGTCAACAAGATCTATTTCAAGGCATAAAATTAACACTTCAAAAAGAATAAAAATAATTTTCCGAATCATCAGGATTAACTTTATTGAAAGCCTGCAATTATTATGCTTTTTTAAGGAACTGTATGAAACTGGCACGCATTAAAGTTCTGACACACTTGATTGCCAACACCATAATCCCTCTCAACAACACTGCCAAGTACATCAAAAAGCCATTTGTTTCATGTTAGTCATTAAAGCTCAAGATGATGGTAGAAAAAAAAAAACAATTGCAGTGTATTGTATCTTTTTACAGGTGTGAAAACAGGTTACTATAAAAAATCAAAATAAGGACAGATGTAACTCTGTTATTACAAATCTTATCATATGGACATGCAAGTGCAAGGAGTTGTGCAAATTTCAAAATCATTACTGATATATGTAAACAATAAAAATAATGTAAATGTTATGGTATAAAAATTAAAAGGAGCTTTTTTAGAATAAATATTGTAATACTGTGTAATACTGAGTTTTTGCAAACCTTAATATATAAGTTCAAACCTGAAAAAGGAGAAAACATTTGTTTTCACATTTGAGTGACTGATCTATTTCCTTTTTTGGAAGTAAACAGATAAATAATACAATTCTAACAAATGATCAAACAAACCATGAAAAGAGTAGCCAAACAAACAGCAATAGTACTACTACTAATGATGATGCAAGAAAATATTTGAATTACCAATATTTATTTTTCCAAGCATAAAAAGACAGCAGTGAAATATTTAACGAATACTTAAGTTCTGGACAGGTTTAAATCCCTCAGTCCATTAAAGCTCTCCCTTTGGTCAGGAGGGACTTGAACCATGATGTTATCTAACATTTGCTGCACTGAGTGTTTCCCTCAGCTTTAGCTCACTGGAGCACTGAGGCAGAAACTCTTATTTGATGGAGCATAAGATCTCATGGGGGAGAAGAGAGGCTGTCCCCATTGGAAAAGACAAGCTGCTTCTCTTTACAATGAAGGACATAACAGTTAATATTGCCAGACGCCCACTGTATGAAATCTGGACAGGACTGTCTGGGAGTCATTTCTCTTTTCTATAATATTGCAAACAAATTATATAACAACATTATGCTTTAAATATACACATGCAATTTGGCTGTTATCTTTTACAATCCGCCTCAAACTTTTCTGCTTTTTTCCTAAATATTAAATCATGTTTTATACAAATTTGCTAACTGAACTCTTGGATTAATAACCCACTGCAAGATAGCTTTTTTTTAATCCTTAAAGGTTGTAAATATATGTGCGAGTTAAAAAAAGCTGTTGTTAGGACTTTGTAAAGCTATGAGCGGAAAAATGAAAAGAAAGACCGTAATACATGTGAACTGAAAAAAAGTGCTCATCAATCTTTCATGCCTTTCTCCTGTGCCTGCAGTCTGTTAATAATGAATACTGATTCTATTGCAGTGCTTGGATTCTCTAAGAAATGGGGTTAATCCATAGGATGGCAAGCTTCAGAACTGAATGTAGCCTCAGGGTTAGTTAAAAGGGTTTTTACCAGTCAGTGCTTAAACACAGAAACCTCCTCCCCACAGTTGTCTTAGCTCACAGGGTTTTCTTAGATTTATTGTAGACTGCCCCCTCCAAAGATGCATTAGCACTAGTTTGGTCTCATGTTTTCTGATTGTCATCACAACGTGTTGGACAAGACAATTGGGGCAGATTGCCACAATTACTGCAGATAATATACTGTATTTATAGTACAATCTAGCTAAATGCTATGTTAAGCACTTTAAGCTGAGTGACTCAGAATGTGTAAATCATATGACAGTTCTATAAAATGTTTCAGAGCAGGTGACGGGGGAAGTGCTGATTGGATTTTGAATCTCACTTAAGGCTTCCTACATTGTACACGTGACTACTGTAGTTGCTTTTACTCCCACTTCTTAGCTATAGCAGTGCTTAATATTTTGAAACAAAGAAAAATGCTTTCTCATACAGTTAATGGAGTTAATATTCAAAGTTACTTTCAAGCATACATTCTGCATATACAGTACAGTATACAATATATATGTTTACAAATAAAATAGCTGTCACAACCTTACAGAAATTATAGGGAAGCAGGTGGAGTATGAGAGAGTGAAAATAAAAATGCTTTAAATATGTCACTTTTAGCACTGTACAGCAATAATTTGATAATGATAACAATAAAAATACACAGACTATTATTGCAATATGAAAATAGCCAAATCTGCAGACATATGTGGCCAATGGATCTGATATTGATCAGTATTTTTCCCACAAATACTGAGATTGTAGTTCGTCTGTATGGATATCACAAGCTAGATCTCCTAGCTTGCAAAGCTACTCTAAAGCTTGATTGTGGAAACACATTTTTGTAAAACATTTTAAATGTATACCAACAGTGAAAGAGGTGTAATACACAGAATCCAATGTTAAACAACTGTACAGGGTAATACAATTTATTGGACTCCTAACTGCCTCTTTTATCTTTTGCTGGTACAGTATATACTATGGACATATTTGAATTGCAGTATATTACATTCATATTCATTATAGTAAAGATGAAGGATGCAATTTACTAGTTGAATACAAGAAAGAACCCCCCTCCCCTTAAATGCAGACTGAACTAAATTAAATGCTTTATTGCACCTATATATTTATCAAGATTTCTCTTTAATTTTGCTTTTCTGTGCACTGTAAGCTGCGTGTATAAGAGGTAGTGGTTCAACTGAAAAAAAAAAGTCAAACCACTGTAGCTGTTTAAACATGCACCACAAAAACATTGTCATGAATAAAGTCAGCACAGAGAGTAAGACAACTGTAAAGCGTGACACTAATACGAGCCTAATATTTTTTTAGACTGAGGTGATATTAAATACTTTGTAAAAAGTAACTGTAGGGAAATACCTCTTATATGAACAATGTAATCATTCATACAAAGAAAAAATGAAGGATGCAATCAGCAATTTGAAAGCTTCTAAGGAAAACGTAACGTTTGTGAATCAATATGACACATAAATGTCATGTTATGTCTTGTGTCATATCTCCACCATCTGGTCAGTATCAATCATATCATTGTAAAATGAACCAGACAGCAGTCTGAGACAACGACCATAGTTGAAAGTGCAATGAAGTAAACAGCCACTTTATCTCGGCAGTTATTGTTGTCAGTTTTAGTCGTTGCAGAAGGGCAGTTCATTTGATGGGGAAACCACTTGCAAATTCTCACTTCAACATATATATATGACACACAACATCTTTGATAATGGTTATCGAAGCTCTCCCAACTGTTTTAAAAATGTTTAAAAACAGTTAAAAACTACTGATTAGTGATTAGTAATAGAGGAAAAAAGTATATAGAAGAGGAAAAGTGGAAAAGCAGATGTCATTGTGTTCCTTATAGTTTTCAGCATTCCTGAAGCATCTTAACAATACACTAACTAGGAAAATGAGCATAAAAAAATATATTATACACACATTGCTGAAAATCCATTTTAGGAAATGGAGTTTGGCATTATTGAATCTTGACCGGACACCTTTCTAATTGCTGTTACTATAGTAGAATAGAATAGAGATTCTAATATTACTGCTTGTTTGCAAAGACACAACTGCATTCCTTACAGTAATCATACATTTTTTACAAATACATTTATTTGCTAATGTGTTGATCATTTTTGCAACTGTAAATTCTAAAGCCAACCATTGACAAGAAAGATATGGA